AATATTTCAAAAATCACCCAAAATATGTGTTATTATAGGTTAAACAATTCTGTTGGGCAACTGGACGTGAATTTTCTAAGTAAGACGTTTTACTTCTAATCCCCACCACCAGTTAGAACTGATGGTGGGGAGTACTGCAAATATACTCTGGGTGTGAAAGAATAAAGCTACTTCAGCTCCACCCTGTTGGGTGGGGTCAACTGGGAAAGTGTAAACAGTCGTTAAGAGTCTGATGGGTCGTTGTGATCCCCATCAGAAGGGTTTCGGTCACCTGCCTCTTTGTTATGTGAAACTGAGGTGAATCTTTTGGGTATTTTTCCTAAAAGTGCTTTGTATGTGGGTGAGGTTGTCCACCTCCTCTGTTGAGTGATGGTTTTTCCATGTTGACAAAAATGGCTTCTTTTACCCCTCTCTCAAACTATCTGTCTTCCCTGGCCAAAATGTGCACATTGTTGTCCTCAAAGGAGTGTGTTTTGTCCTTGAGGTGTATGTGAACAGCTGAGTCCTGTCCTGAGGAGTTGCCCCTGTTGGTTGGGCCATGCGCCTGTGTAGTGGTTGTTTGGTCTCCCCATTGTACATTAGATAAGTCACAAATAGGTGTTTAAACTCTGCCTATGATCCCATCGGGAAAACTCCAGAATGTCCCGATTAGCCACTCCGGCCCCGGGTTTGTATTTTATTTATTTCAAAACAAAGACGGAGGGCGTAGTGGCTAATCGGGACATTCTAGAGTTTTAAGGTAAAATAAACCAAACAAGCAAACAAAAGATGGAGGTCAGAGTAATTACTTTTAAAGTTTTATTCATTAACGCTGCAGTTTGACTACAGCATAAGTACAAGCATAAAATCTTTGACTACAACAGCACTTAGAGCAACATTTTTTGATTTTTTTTTCTTCTTTTCTGTAAAAGTATTGCAATAACAGACCTTAGGCCTAAAACCTATTACATCACAATTGCTTAAATAATAAGAGGCAAAAAATACACAACGATTTTAATCTCTGTGCTTGTACACATATGTATATATATATATATTTATCTGTATATGTATGCATATGTATGACGGCACAGAGGAGGAGGGGTGTGGGGCGGGGTAACAATAGTTGTAAAACAAAGCAAACGGATGTTACAAAAACCCATGATGGAAGCAGTCCTATGATAACTGTAAAGACACCACGTGTTGAGACGCCTTTGTCGCTGTTATTATCATTGTGGTTAATAGTAAAATCTGGAACAATATAAACAGCTACTTGTCGTCGGCATTTGTAGTACAGACGTCTTAGAAGTGGAGAGAGGGAACAACACTGCAGGGGGCAGAAGTCAAACCACGATCAGTCTGAGCCCAAGCTACTTCTTCAAGCTAGTGCAGTAAAAACATAATAAGATAAAAAAAAAAAGAGAGAGAGAGAGATTTATTCAGAGGAACCGGAGTGGAGCTCTGACCAAAATGATTACTACACAACTGCCTCTTATTTGGTGCTTTGGAGAGAGAAATGTTGCGCTGCTATGTACATCGTCTATAGATAAGAATGAACATGCTCTGCTGTTATTGTACAGTGACAGATATTTTTAAGTATATACTGTAAATAAATCAACTGCAGATTACTAAACGAGACGCTTGTTTCAGTATACTGTGCCGAGTAATAATATTGTGATGTAAAAAAGAAAGTAGAACAAAAGACACAAGTTTGAATAAATGACGTTTTAACGGCATGATTTGTCCACACTCACACACACCTTTCCACATGACGCCAATAAAACCTAAATTTATCAACTGTTTTTCTCCACTAGCTTGTCCAATATGTGTGACATTCCCTCAGTAGCCACCTAGTATAAAAATACTAACAAATGTACCTATAGAATTCGAATCAGGAGACACTATCTTCTGTTTGACGTTTCTCTCCTAACTGCCATTTTTATACCACAAGGGGGCAGTGTAACCCTAGCTGCAGAGAACGCTAGGCCACCACATCATCTACATTTAAAGAGAATATTCCGTCATATTGTTTAAATCAGACAAGTATTAAGATATACTGGAGTATTTAAGCCCAACATTCGATGTTGCTCAACGTCCACACATCTACTGTGAGGTCACCTCATGATTGCTGACCCCGACAATTCACTTTCCTCTATCTGCCCATTTAAATGCTAGTGGAATTTTGATACAGTTTAACTTGGAAGATTCCTCTTCTTTCTGTTAATGTGAATCACTTAGGCAACAACTGTATGGAGATATTTCAGCTCATGACTCTGTTGTGCAGGTTTGAGTCGAGAGGAATGTGTTGAAGTGGCATAAACTCCAAAGGTGTCGAGTGTCGTCATCTTACTGCCAACCATGTAAAACTGAGATCAAACAAGAGGTGGAGAGAGAAAAAGGTGCTCTGAGGCAACAGGAGGTGAGATGAACTCATTAGAAATATGACAAGTTTTTTCCCTTGTCCTTATATCCTCCTTGTTACTGATGGATTTCCATGTCATGTGACATGTGTCTCCTGAACAGGAAATCTTCTGCCGTTTGTCCGACAATTCAAACAGTACGTTGAATTTCACCTCGGACACACACAACAACAGATCGGAGTGTGGCGTATACTTTGTGGAAAGGTGTGTTCAACAGAACTACATGTCTGTCATGTGATGGAGGTGAAAAGTGAAATAAAAAAAATATAAAAAAACCCCCCAAAAACTTAAAATCTCCAGCCAGTAACTAAAAGATGTCAATTTTTCTGACGACAGATCACGTGGGACGAAAATGCAAGAGAATAAAAAAGTGAATAACATCTTTTTTCAACAACCTACTTATTCCAGAGGTTATCTCATCCTTATCATAGCACACTGTTATTTATAGCAAAATATCATGTTTGTATTTGTGTTGCAACCATATTATAAGCATAATTTGCAAACCATGTTTTCTCATAAAAAAGACAAAGTACATTTTTTTAAACTGTAGGCATTTACAAATTTGATGCTGCCTTCTTAAAGTTTCTTATATTGTCTATACATTATATTACAGTATTCACAAATTTTTTTTGTGGTTTCTACCCATTGGGTAGGATATGTGCATAATATATTCAAGTTATATACAGCACCTTACAAACAAACATAAAGAAAGACAGACTACTGAAAAAAGCACCGTTGGAAGTGAGGCACAACGAAGGTGGGAGCTTTTTTTGAGTGCAAGTGGGTTCCTATGTCTGCTTCACACGTGGCCTGGTACTGATTGAAATGGCTTCAGCTGCTTCACAGGGTGGGGGCGGCGGGGGTAACCGCCTGCGTCTGGCACAATGGACGCATACTTTGTAAACATTGCCACTGAATCTGGTCAAAACTGGGATCTAGGGGTGAGGGAAAATGGAAAAAAAAATTCCAAGGCTGAGCTTCATGTTTAACTTATTTCGTTGACATAGAAACACAATCACACACACAAACACACAAAACACTGGGCTGGCCGTCTTCATTTCTACTTCTGTGTCAACCTTGAATCTAATGTGATTTTTTTGTATCTTTTGTCCACTTTCCTGCAGGATCACATTCACTCTCTAATCCAGCATGAGCTCGAAGACTGAATAGGAAATGTTGGACAACTGCTCCAGGCTCCTGACAGTACACGAACCACCATTACAACACTGTGAGAGCACAGAAATTAGGTATATATATTCTTTTCATTTTGGCAAATCTGAACCAACTCTTCTCTCATTTTTTTTGTTCAATTCTGCCAGTCAGAAAGACGATCACCCCCCTTCTCCCCTCCCCCTGCTTGTAAGCAGCTGTAAGGATTCCAAGCAGCATTGTCACCGAGGTGTGGTCTGCTCAAACATGAACTTTAGGCACCTTATTTACTCACATAATAGTAACATGCAAACCTCCTTGTAGAAAACGTAAATTTCATATTTTTCAATAGCCTCCGTTTACAAGCTATGACTGCACAGACTAGAAGAAGCTGAGGAAAAAAGAAGGACGAGAAGGAGGAAAGACGCCCCCGGTTCATGAAGCAGGTCCATACAGTCAAAGGCTACCGTGATGAGACGGTCTCACCCAACACACACCTCTGTGTCGTGACACTGTCTCCGTATATGTGTGTGTGTGTGTGTGAGACCAGATTCCATCTCTGAGCCCGTGCCTTTGACTGCAGATGCTCAGATTTCTCTCCTTTTGCCGTTAGAGGTTCTTTAACAGGACGACACGGGGACAGAGGGACAGGGGTATGGACATGAGAAGCAGCAGTAGCAACAATAGAAGCAATAGCAGCAACAGCGATAGCAGCAGTGATGTCGTAACACACATACGAAAAACACAAACACACACTAAACAGGAGGCACAAATTCAAACACACTGGTGATAAGAGAATCAGTGGAGTTTGTCTGGACTGTGACGTATTTTCTTCTCATTTTCATCATTGTCATTGTACTAGGAGTCTGGCTGCGTTCAGAACTTAATCTTTTCAAAACCTAATTTGATATAATGTTGATCAGACAGAACACTGACTGTGTTCCATTCCTTGTAAATAACACTTTTAGCAGTTTGGTATCAGGTAAATACCAACTATTAGTGTGTAACTGAAGATCACTTTCTACTTTGAGTGTTTAGTTAGCTTAGCAACTCAGCTCAGAAAGTTAGCCCTAATATTTTATTAAATTAAAATGTCTCAAATTGCCATTTTAATGGCAATAATAAGTAATGTGGTATTTAACATGGTAATGGCACAAAAATGAGCAATGGGAAGATTTTAATGACTGAGAATTTCATAATCTAGGTTGATGCTTTTTCCAGAGTCAGATCCTGTTGACCAGCAGTGGTACTGCACCCAGAACTGCATCTTTAGGTGGCTTCAACCATGAAAATCTGAGAGGACATCCATCGTTCATACAGATAATATATACTTTGTTTGTTTGTTTAAGTGTTCATCTTTGCACCAAGACGGTTAATGACAATGGTCTTTTTTAAGGATTAGGAATCACATTAAACAGTAACAACCACGTATAAAAACCTGACTTCATCTCCATCCATGTTTTACCATGTTTTTCAGCTTGTTGCCACTGAAAGGCAAGGCAAAATCAGCACAGGCATTTGAACAAACACACACCTGTGGCATCAAGTCGGAGCTGGGTCTCCACTGTGGGTGGAGTGAGTCACTGTGGGCACTGTGTTTCAGCCTTCTGTGACCGTGATAGTAGCCATCATGCATCTCTGGCTGTTCAGAGAGAAAAACCGCTGAAACGCTAAATTAATGGTGGTTAAATCAAAGACTGTGCCAAATAAGTAATGTGTCCTTGACTGTCTAAATTCAGACAAGAGTCAACTAATAAATCACTCAGCTGCCTGTGCGCGCGCACACACAAACACACACACACACACACTGTACTCCTCGTGGAGCATTAAGTGCTTTTCTGTGTTGTTGAGAAGTCGGACCAACAAAACACACACACACACACACACACACACACACACACACGGGGAAGAGAGGAAAAGCACTAACACACTGCCGAATAAGGTCTCCACTCCAGTCTCCACTTTTAAAGGGATTGGCGTACTCTGCATCATTTGCACACAATTTTCTGCGCATGGATAAGGAGAAGGGAATAATGAACAGTGGTTTACCAAAGACACTGTTATTTTCAAAGACGGGGACGGAGTGAGGGGAGGGCATTTTGGGGGCAAAAAGAGGGTTTGAGAGGGAGGGCAAGACAGAAAAAGCACAGGAGCAGAGGAGAAGGCAACAATGAGCAGAGAAAATGGCTAGATTTTCAAAAAGGTTTTTTTTTCTACTTTTACAAAAAAAGGACCCTCCCATAGCCCTTTGACTCTGACCACAGACAATTAAAAAAAAAAAAACCTGATCGCTGCACTGCACTGGTGGATACAGGCAGGAATCTTCACTTTGTGACGTCTTTGTTGTTTGTTTTTTTTCTCTCTCTTTGTGTGGCTTTAGAGACACAAAGTAAAAAGAAAGCCTTCTCTTTTGTTGTTGTTTTGTGTTTCCATTGTTATGGCTGCGGAGG